TACACCAACCCTACCCCTAAACCTACCCCTTACAGGAAACTTTGTGCATTTTTACTTTCTCAAAAAAACTAATTCTGTATGATTTATAAGCTTGTTTCCTCATGGGGACCTCAAAAATGTCCCCACAAGGTCAAAATTTACTAGTATTACTATCCTTGTGGGGACATTTGGTCTCCATAACGTGATAAATACCAGGTACACACACACACACACTCACACACACACGCACGCACACACACACACACACAAACACACACACACAATCTTCCTTTACTGTGCTCCTCTGATTCTGCGCGCGTTTTCTTCGTCTTTCACAGAAAGCCGCGATCTCGCGTAATTCAAAAATTAACGGTCATTTATATTCCATTTACCGGCTGACTGACTATATCGATGTCTTTATTTAACAATTACGTAAATATATGACAGTATATCCGTCTCTTGGCAACGCCACTGAAATACACTGGTATTTCTAATGAGAGAAATTGTGAATAAATGAATAAATGTTTGGTGCAGCGTTCCACACCTCTTCATCCGCGTCTTCTCTTCAGCTCTATCGCTCGTACTGTAGGAGGCGCTGTACAGCAATACGCCTTTGAAGCGTCTAAGCTGCCGCAAATCACACAAGAAGAAGAAGAAGAAAAAGGCGCTGTAACTTTCTTTTGTTCTCCGGTAAAACCACTGAAGAAAGAATAAAGATTGGAGCACTCAGACGGTAAGTGTTTAGTCAAGTTACATCATGTGTTTTAGCTGTTTATGTGCTTGTTGTTTTTCTGTCTAGTGATTTAATGAGCTTAATGAAGCTTTTCATCGACCGCTCGTCTCATGAAAAATAACCATGTTTTTTTACTACAGTAACCATAACGTCCTATTGTTTTAATACAGTACCAGGTTTTAACCATTATATTTGTAGTAAACAATAGCTTTTATATTAACACAATTTTCAAAACGAGACACGTAAATGCGTAGAAATCAGACAATATCGGAAGCATGCTATATTACATATTTGATAATATTCCTGCTCAGTGCTGGCTCAGTTACATTTACATTTAGTCATTCTGCAGACAAAAGCGACTTACAATTGGGCGAATAGGCCTACTTAAAGCGATTCAACAGATACAGGAAGTGCTTGTAAATCCAAGTTTTTGGCATTGTTCAAATAAGTACAAGCTAGAAAGGGAAGGAATACATAAAGAGAGTTTTTATTTATTTATTGTTATTTATGATGAAGTCAAGTAGCGTCGAAAGAGATGAGTTTTCAGCTGTTGCTTGAAAATTGTCAGGGATTCAGCATTCCGATCCTTGTAACAAAACAAACACTCCTGAAGACATCTACATCTGAATGTTCTCCAAAATAAAATGTTATTTTCTTTAATAACAAGTCAGTTCTGTGTAGTTCAGCTCTTGATTATGAGAATAATGGGGATGATGAAGAAGAAGAATTTATTCCTCCAGGTGTGTTTCTTCCTTTTATGACCAGATATGCTGAGTTAACAGAATTGGTATTAAAACCCCTTAAAGGCACAATATGTAAGTTTTTTTTTTTGTTATAAAATATCCAAAAACCACTTGCACCTTTTGATATATTTCATGCAGTTGTGTACTCACGTTATTCCAAAAGTTCCCAAGGATTTGTAAATCCAGAGAAATTCCAATTTTAAATAATGACTCGTCGTTCCTGTTCCTCCTTAGTCTTTGTCACCTATCAATGACGTAATATCTGTACTATCCTCGGTTTCCGCTCAATAGAAACAAAAAAAAGTCCACTGCTGTACAGTTAAACTAAATCCATAATGGCTGTCGCGAATAAAATGAAATTAAAAGTGTTGACTGCAGCATTAAATTTGGATTATTTTTACACGTTTTGCGTTCAGTGTTGCGCTTTATAACCAATCACACACGAGTCTGTTGAGCTGTTGAACGCAGTGGCCAATCAGAGGCGTTCAGATAATTCGTCTTCACAAGATGAGTTTTTTGTTCAGCGCACACGCTTGCTGACTGAACGCTGCTCATTTTTTTCATCATAGCTTTGCCTTTGTTATTGTTTTGAAAATGCGACCTCTAGCAGCGAAAACGTACATATTGTGCCTTTAACGGTTTACTTCAATATATTACTATTAAATCCTAATCTAATCATGACAAACTATATGTAGTTGGAAAGGTCTAAGACTCCTAAATAGATATTTTACCACTGTTTGTTGTTATAAATTATGTAGGAACAGTTATAGATTAATTTAAGACAAGAGTGCACCTCAAAACATATACAGTGGGTACGGAAAGTATTCAGACCCCCTTCAATTTTTCACTCTTTGTTATATTGCAGCCATAGTGAAAAATTGAAGGGGGTCTGAATACTTTCCGTACCCACTGTACATCCTTACAGGAGTTCTGACCTTTGTCCTTTGACCTTTTTCCCTATCACATGTTTAGTAATTATCATAACTTAGATATCATTTGAAAGCTTAAATTCTCAAAATTCATCCTACGAAAACCATTTTGAACAGTTCAGAGGTTAAACTGTAAAAATATTTTGTATGTGCTGGGGTGGCAGCTGCCATTATAAAAATGCTAGATATCATTTGAAAGCTTAAATTCTCAAAATTCATCCTACGAAAACCATTTTGAACAGTTAAGAGGTTAAACTGTAAAAATATTTTGTATGTGCTGGGGTGGCAGCTGCCATTATAAAAATGAGCCTTGCCACCCCAAAGCAGAGTATGTGAGCAGAGGGGACTGGGACCAGAGAATTTCTTAAAAGTCGGACACGGATGGATCACTCAAGTCTGAAAAGTTTAGGAGGTTATAGTTCTGAAAGATTTTATGGTTGTCGTTTCCGCGGGCCCTTAAAAAGTCTTCAATTTAGTCTTATCAAATTTAAGTCGTCCATAAAAAGTCTTAATTATAATTTTAAGGGGTCTTAAATTTGGGGAACAGGAACTGCTTGGCTTAAAGGGTCATGAAACCCCCCGTTTCAGCACTGGTTAGTCCTCACCACAGTTTTAAAAAAATGCTAAAAAAGTGGGCGTGGTGCGGAGCGGAGGAGGGGGAAGAGGGGGAAGAGGGGAGACAGACAACACACACACACAGCTTAGTGTTCAGACAGTTTCATTTCGCTCCCATCGAGTTAAAAACACAAATAAATGCACAGCCATTTGCACTCTGCATCGAAAACATATGAACGCGCTGTCTCACCTCTGAGAACTTTTAAGGCTTATTCTGTGGCATTTATATAAGCCTTTTGACGGGTTGTGTCACAGAGCTGTAAACACGGTTTGCTCACCAAGTGAATGAATCGCGTTTGTGCTGAACTCTTACTACAAAGCAAAAACAAACACTTTTCTTCGATCCATGAACGTTTCTCTCAGTTATTGTGCGCGATGCCATCTCACAGACTCTGAAACGTCTGTCATAGCAAATCAGCACATGCTGTTGTGAATAATTAAGTGAAGCGTCTTCTCATAGGATAAGAACACGCAGTCTCATGAATAATTTAATAGACACGCCGCGTCATCGATGTACTATTAGTCCATTGCCACGTCACACATTGTGACGTCAACACAATGTAGATTTTAAACCAGGAAGATGAAAATAGCGCAAAAAAGCTTAAAATTAACCAGTTTTCTCCAACAGTTAAAATTATCGGATGCTTGCGTCATCGATGTACTATTAGTCCATTGCCACGTCACACATTGTGACGTCAACACAATGTAGATTTTAAACCCGGAAGATGAAAATAGCGCAAAAAAGCTTAAAATTAACCAGTTTTCTCCAACAGTTAAAATTATCGGATGCTAACATTGTCTTCTATGATGTGCAACACAAACACCTCTGCTAAAATCTCAGAAAAAGTAGTCTGGGGTTTCATGACCCTTTAATGTTACTTTAAACTTGCGTTTAAACTTAAAAAGGCTGTGATTTCATTGAATAAATATGAGCGCTGCACGTTTCAAAGTTAAAAAGTGGCGCGGATGTTATGTAAATGTCACTCAGAAGGGAACCGACTGTCCGAATCTGATGAAGTAGCGTTTATGAGCATATTGTTCTTCGTGTACAACCATTACTGGGGAAACCACTGTGTTTCTGCCGTTCCAAAAGTGCCACCTACTGGCAGAGAATGAATTTGCATATTACATTTTTCGGTTTCCATTTCTTGTTCATTAAACACGCAGATTTGTAACTGAATGGGTGGATCGCGAGAATTTAAAGGAATAGTTCACCCCAAAATGAACATTTTGTCATCATTTACTCACCTTCGTGTCATTCCAGACCTGTATAACTTTCCTATGTTGAACACAGAAGAAGATATTTTGAAAAATGTTGGGATCCGAACAGTTGGTGAGCACCATTGACTTCCATAGTATTTTTTTTTTCCTACTATGGAAGTCAATGGTGCTCACCAACTGTTCGGATCCCAACATTTTTCAAAATATCATCTTCTGTGTTCAACAGAAGAAAGAAACTCATACAGGTTTGGAACAAGTGGGGGGTGAGTAAATGGTGACAGAATTTTCATTCTGAAAGTGAACTACTTTAACAACCAGACTCATATGGGGCAGCAAATTCTGTTCAGGCATTACAAAGATTGCAAATATGATCTATTTACATATACCTATGTGTAATGTAAGTGATGTTCATTGAATAATATTACTTTATTCTTTGCTCCCCCAATTAGCCTTAATTTGGCTTAAATATATTTAGTGCTATTGAACTGAACTGAGAGCAGCTTCTGCTCTGCCTCAAACTGACTTCAACAGTATAGGCCCATCAGGAAACGATTCCTGCTCAAGGGCTCTCTTATGTTTACACATACTTACTTTTATCCAAAGCAACTTGCATTGCATTAACATAGCCTATGCATTTCTGGTCATGCTCATGCATTAACTGAGAACAGACTTTGCCCTGAACTGCTGCTGCTCAAATGCCGTCAATCCTGAAAATGCCAGTGCAATAATGCATATTTTGGTTCCAAACATTGAATACAATTTTCACTTAAATTAAACTGGAAAGTGTAATTATGCATTTTCACGATTAACGGAAATACCGATTTTATGTGTCAAACCTAGCTGCCACCCCTCATTATGCTCTTGCCACTCCAATTATAAAAGACTGAACAGCATTTGTTGTGAATTCTGGCAATCTGAAAAACTGAGAACAGCATATTGTGAGCTGCACTTGTATAAAATACCACAGATTTTGTATTTATTTAAATCACAGATTTTGCCGTTTGATAACCGCAATTTCAGTTTTATCTTGACTGATCATTCAGCTCTAGAATTTATAGAAAAAGTTAGATATTTTATGCAAATGTTGTTCCTTTAAGTTGACAGCGCTGGTTCATCTTCTGAGGGAGAAACTGCCTCTACATCCAAAGAGCGATGGACAGCGATGGACTGTGGAGAAACATTGAGCCAACACGGTCATTTAGCAACACATCAGAGAAAACACACAGAACAGAAAGACTTCAGCTGCAACATATGCAACATCAGTTTTCCTACCTTCAAAGAGAGAACACTTCATTCAAAAGAGCACAGCGTGAAGAAGGAGTTTCGCTGCGAACAGTGCGGGAAGGATTTTTTCACCACTCCTTACAATATGAAAGCTCATATAAAGACACACGAAGAAAAGTCTCTCCAGTGCAACGAATGTAGCAAGTTTTTCCGCAACCAACGAGATCTTTCAAGTCATAAGAGGATCCACACGGGTGAAAAACCATACAAGTGCCCTCAATGCGAGAAGAGCTTCAGCCAGGGATCACATCTGAAGAGACATCTACTCACACACAGCAATGAGAGACCGCATCAGTGCAGTGAATGTGGAAAACATTTTAGAAGCTCAGCTTCTCTAAAGTTACACCAAAAAATGCACTCTGATGACAAACCGTATCAGTGCCCTCACTGCGAGAAGAGCTTCAAATATGGAAGCAGTTTGAAGAACCATGTATTAATGCACACCAATGAGAGACCGTATCAGTGCAGTCAATGTGGGAAAACTTTTACAAACTTGGCTTCTCTAAAGTTACACCAAAAAATGCATTCTGATGACAAACCGTATAAGTGTTCACACTGTGAGAAACGTTTCTATCATTCGACTCACCGGAAAACCCATGAGCGGACTCACACCGGAGAGAAACCGTACCTGTGCTCCGACTGCGGGAAGAGCTTTGCTAGTTCATTTGCTTTCAAGATTCATCAGAGAGGTCACACAGGAGAAAGACCGTATCCCTGTAGTGATTGTGGGAAGAATTTTTATAAACTAAGTGACGTAAAAATACACCAGAGGACTCATACAGGAGAAAAACCTTTTAAATGCTCACTTTGTGCCAAGACTTTCGCTATATCAAGTTCCCTGAAGATCCATGAACGAATGCATACAGGAGAGAAACCTTACCGCTGCTCCATCTGCGGCGAGAGATTCGCTTTTAAATGGGGTTTTCAGACGCACAAGAAGAAACACGCTGCCCCACAATCATCATAGCTTCGTCATTAATCAGTAATTAGCAGGGGCAGACTGGACACTGTCGATCCATCCGACGGCCGTCGGCCTAAGAAAAAGTGTCAGATTAAGTGACGTTGACAGCCGACAAAAGGGCGCGCTAATGCAATCTATTTTTGCTTATAAGAAACTGAAACTGACGCGAAGGAGAGTGGGCTCATGAGTCGTGATGGCAAGCAAAAGACGTGAAGATAAAGGCGGCTGGGAGAAGCTAAAAGGAATAAAAGCGAACAGTTACATCAGGTTACCTTTGCCCGCCTCTCTCACTATAGAGCATGTAGCCTATAGCACTATAGTAAAATCCCAGGACACCCTAGTCTGAGCGTCCACTGCTATTTATCACTGCATTGTCTGGCATGAATATTCCATTCATTCATAAAGAGACAGCAGTGATTCTACAACGGGTTACATTTGAGAGATAGAGTAAATGAAGTAGCCTATAAGGTGATTAGTCTGATTGACATGACACACATACACACAGACATATGAATACTCAAATTGAAGAATTCTGTTGTTTCAGGTTTCTAGATTCTAGGTTTATGTTTATTAACACATTTTGCATTCTGCTCTTTTCATGTAGATTTCAAGTATTTTAGTTCATACAATAGGCTAATACATTTATATCAATCCTCTGTTGAAAAAAAAAATAGAAAGCATCACATAATTTGTAATGGTTTTACTGGTTGTAATGAAAATTGTATTGGTTTTAATGGAAACTGTAATGATGAATGATGCATTTATATAGCGCTTTATTGTGTATTAATTGTGTGTATATTAATGGCGCCTGTTGGTCTCTACTGGTAATTGGTCACCTTCTATTCATGGATTTTGTTAAAGCCACTAAATTCTAATGTAATATGTCCCAAAACACACTACAGGAAACCATTATTTAATGGTTAGAAGTTGATGGTTTGTAATGTTATTTGTAGTGGAAATCATTTGAATTTCTATGGTGATTTCTATTGTTTTTGTCAGCAGGGTCACCATGGGTTTTGTGATGTTATTTGCCATAAATGCCATAGGATTGCTGTAATAATGTGAGATAGTAGCGACTGCTTGTAGTTGTGGTGGGTCTATTTGGGAGAAAATCCAGGGCCGTTATTTACTTCCAGTCTGATCCTGGTAATTAGTTTCAGGTTTTGTAAAAAAAAAAAAAAAAAACCTTGCAGTGTTACAGGAACATTATTTTGTGGTTGTAAAAAAAACAAACAAAAAAAAAGTCTGTAATTGTGCAATTTAATTGCAGTGTAATGCAATTAAAAATGCAAGATTTATTTCGTTTTGTATCAGGTAGCATGCGTTTGTGGCTGACTTGCTTTATTTCTTCTTTTATAGTAAACATACTAAAACATTCATACTGTGAAATATTATTCCAGTACAAAACTCACTGTTTTCTATTTGAATACACACGATCCTTCAGGCTCATGTGCTGCTAGAAATGTGTGTTATTACAGTTGAAAATGCTTGTGCTGCTTAATGAAGTGTGGAAACTGACATTCAGTGTTCAGGATTGACGAATATCCACCGAAATTGCGTGGAAAAGCCCTTATTTCAAATATAAATAAAAATGTTATCTGTAATAACTTTACAGCTAAAAATATTAAACCAGGGCTATGTGTGTGAAAAGCATACAAGTTATATTTGAAATCGTATTCATATTTTTGTTTAAACACACACACACGTCTTATTTTACTGTGCTCCTCTGATCTGCGCGCCTTTTTTCCTGTCTTCCACAGAAAACCGCGAACTCGCGTAATTCAAGAATTAACGGTCATTTCTGTTCCATTTACCGGATGACTGACTAACATTCGTTTATCGATGTATTTAATAATTTCGTAAAGATATGATAGTATATCCGTCTCTTGATAACGCCCCTGAAATACAATGGTATTTTTAATAAGATCAATTAGGTTTTGAATAAATCTCACACCCGCCGGAGCGTCTTCTCTTCTTCTCTATCGCTCGTCCTGTAGGAGGCGCTCTGACGATCTGTAGTTCTCCGGTAAAACCACCGAAGAAAGGAAGGAGACCGAGCACTCGGACGGCAAGTGTTTAGTCCGTTAAACATTATTCATGTGTTTTTGCTGGAGCCTACTATTTCATCCTTCCAAACAAAATTCGCGATTCAAAAAGCTGCAATGACCCATCTAACTTTTAATTCTGATAACCTTCAAATCGTTCAATGCACACTTACTTAAAGAAAAGAAAATAACACATTATCATTATCGTTATTTTTATTACTATTCATTCAGAATTCATTTTGGTCTTGTCAGATCTGCTCAAGGGCTCTTTCGTTTACATTACATCTAACTTTTAATTCTGATAACCTTCAAATCGTTCAATGCACACTTACTTAAAGAAAAGAAAATAACACATTATTATCATTATCGTTATTTTTATTACTATTCATTCAGAATTCATTTTGGTCTTGTCAGATCTGCTCAAGGGCTCTTTCGTTTACATTGGCTACTTTTATCCATGCACTGCATTTAACATACAGGCCTACGAACCCATGATTCTGATGAGCTACGTTTGACAAATTTCTTTAATAAAAGTTTATAAATAATCAAAAGATAACCAAAGAAGGTTTTTTTTGTTGTTTAGAATTTTAAATGAGCTCAAAATGTTAAGTAATAGCTACATAAATCGCTCACCCTTCGACATTACTGTCAGACAGTTAATGCATTAAAACAAGGACAGCTCAACTCTTCATACTTAAGTACAAAACAGTGCTGAACTTTGACAAAAATATTTTTTAAATGTTATAATTGGGATTTTCTAATGTCTGATTATAAATCCAAAAGCATAACGTGAAAATAACTATATAAGGGAGTGGAAACGGCAAATGAATAAATGAATTCATGGTGGTAATATCTTGTCTTCTTCAATGTGAATTTTGCATATCATGTTTACATTTAGTGTAACTATATACAAAATATGCATAATTTTGAGGCAAAAACAAAACATAAATCTTTCCAAAAACTGCTTAACTAAAGTGACCATTATATGGCCATCAGGAGTTCATGGGGGTGTTATGCTTACTTTGGAAATATAATAGGTTACAGATTACAAGTTACCCTATTTAAAATGTAATAAGTAGTGCAACTATTTCAGTTACTTTATTAATGTAACTGATTACATTTGATTACTTTTTCTAAATTTAAAATATTTTCAACTAAATAATTTCAAAACATTTAAAGCAGGCAGGGTTAACCTTACAGTAGAACTCAACACTGATTATTGGCAGACTCTCAAAAGCCTTCATTACTTGAATTAAGATTATAATAATTTAATTTTAAAGCACAGCCACCACGAAATCAGACTTTAGCACCTCTTTTTACATTAAAATCGATCTGATTCTGGTTAAATTCTGATCGTTCTGGTTAAATACAGGTTTAAAATCATAACAAGAAATAGTTGCATAGCTATGATACTGTTTTTAAAATCAAATCTTTTCTAACAATGCCTTGGGGGAAAAAAACAGTTAAAGCATATGCATAAACTCAAATAGGAAATAAAACAGTTATCAAATAAGCATGCATCCGATTCTGTGTAATAAACTCCTGAAACATTGGTGCCTCGTATTTTAGAGCAGTCACTGCAATTAAGAAAGAAATCAATCAAATCTGTGTGTGCGTGTTTGTGTGAAAAAATTCAGATGTAACCCCCTTTATAATTGTTAACATTTTCATAAGTAACTGTAATTACACTTTTTTTTCTCTCAGTAACTGTAACAGATTGCACTTACATTTATTTTGTAATTAAATTACGTAATTCGGTTACATGTAACTAGTTACTCCCCAGCACTTGTGTTAGGGAATAGAATATATGGGGAGTACAAACACTGATCTATAGTTGCCACCCCTCGTTCTGCTCTTGCCCCCTCTTTGCCACCCCAAGTATAAAATCCTGGACACGCCCCTGATTTGTAGTGAACAGTTGGTTAATTTTCAATGCTACACGCTTTGGAGTTCTTACAGTTTGGGGAGAAATTAGAAGAAATCTGACAATATCTGAATATATGCATGCAATATTACATAATGTTTGATAATATTCCTGCTCTGTGCTGGCTCAATGTTGAAATGAAACAAACACTCCTAACACATCTACATATGAAATAAATATTTCTGAATATTCTACGAAATATTCTTTAATCTTTCTTTAATAAGTCAGTTCTATGTAGTTCAGCTCGTATGTAAACAATCATTTTGAGGTTAAATCAGAGTCAGTTCATTATAAATGCGTCTTTAATAATCATGAAGTGTTTGTGTTCAGATGTTGAGCATGAAAGCGCAGGTGGATGTGGTCTGCTGTAAATCAGTAGGAACTGATCTGTCCATGCTGGATATTGAGGATTTCATCACAGAAATCTGTCAGCTGAAGAAAGAGGTGGCTTCACTGGAGGCAAAGCTGAGAGAAAGAGGAGACAAACTGAACAGAGAGGTTTGAGCAGCTCTTCATTTCATCTTTAGCTGCTAATATGGACTGATTGTTATGTGAATTAATGTCTTATTTTTAATCATACTCTTACTAGATGTATTACTGATTGTGTTTGTCAGGATGTGGAGCAGGTTTCAGTGCGTGTGACTGATGGGACAGAAGCTCAGCGTGAAGAAGGAGTTTCACTGCGAACAGTGCGGGAAGGATTTTTTCACCACTCTTAATAATATGAGAGCTCATATAAAGGGACACAGCGAAAAGTCTTTTCAGTGCAACGAATGTAACAAGTATTTCCGCAACAAACGAGATCTTTCAAGTCATATGAGAATTCACACGGGTGAAAAACCATACAAGTGCCCTCACTGCGAGAAGAGCTTCAGCCAGGGATCACATCTGAAGAGACATCTATTCACACACAGCAATGACAGGCCGTATCAGTGCAGTGAATGTGGAAAAACTTTTGTAATCTCAGCTTATCTAAAGGTACACCAAAAAATACACTCTGATGACAAACCATATCAGTGCCCTCACTGCGAGAAGAGCTTCAAACATGGAATCAGTCTGAAGAACCATCTATTAATGCACACCAATGAGAGACCGTATCAGTGCAGTCAATGTGGGAAAACTTTTACAAACTCAGCTTCTCTAAACTCACACCAAAGAATACACTTTGACAAACGGTACCAGTGTTTACACTGTGAGAAACGTTTCTATCATTCGACTCACCGGAAAACCCATGAGAGGATTCACACCGGAGAGAAACCGTACCTGTGCTCCGACTGCGGGAAGAGCTTTGCTAGTTCATTTGCTTTCAAGATTCATCAGAGAGGTCACACAGGAGAAAGACCGTATCCCTGTAGTGACTGTGGGAAGAGTTTTTATAAGCTAAGTGGCTTAAAAGTGCACCGGAGGACTCATACAAGAGAAAAACCTTTTAAATGCTCACTTTGTGACAAGACTTTTGCTCAAGCTGGTTACCTGAAGATCCATGAACTAATGCATACTGGAGAGAAACCTTACTGCTGCTCCATCTGCGGCATGAGATTTGCTTTTAAATGGGGTTTTCAGATGCACCAGAAGAAACACGCTGCCCCAGAATCATCATAGCTTCATCATGTAATTATTTTTAGGTTGTGTAAAAAACACCTTGCAGTGTTAGGGGAACATTATTTTATGGTTGTAAAAAATAAATCCTTAAACAAGAATAGGAATGTCTCTAGAACATTATTTACTGGATGGAAATGAATCCTCTGGATGCAAAAAATTCACTGTAATGTGCAGTAGTAGAAGGAGAGGACATACTAGAGCAAGGGTCAACATACTCGGTCCTGGAGTGCCAGTGTCCTGCAGAGTTTAGCTCCAAATTGCCTCAACACACCTGAACCAGCTAATCAAGGTCTTGGGTATACCTGAAACTTCCAGGCACGTGTGTTGAGGCAGTTTGGAGCTAAACTCTGCAGGACACCGGCCAACTGGAAACTGTTGCCAGATTGGGCAGTTTTGAATTTGATTGTGCGGGTATAAATTGGCTTGAGTGGGTGGACAAGATTTGGGCTGGTTTGGGGTCAGTTTGGCGGTTTTCAAACATCTAAATCAGGGCTGCCCAAACTCGGTCCTGGAGGGCCGGTGTCCTGCAGAGTTTAGCTCCAACTTGCCTCAACACACCTGCCTTTAAGTTTCTAGTATGCCTAGTAAGAGCTTGATTAGCTGGTTCAGGTGTGTTTAATTGGGGTTGGAGCTAAACTCTTCAGGACACTGGCCCTCCAGTACCGAGTTTGGGCACCCCTGATCTAAATTGTATATAGGCGAATGGGTTAACAAACAAGCCCAAGTGTGCATGTACTGCATCCAATCAGTCAGTCATCATGACATTACTAAACACACACTCACACTGTAGAGGCGGCTGATGCTGATGTTGATGTCGACAGCCGCACTTATAGCCAATCACTAGGGATCACCAGACAGATGTGATGATTCATGAGTGATGGATTTTTTTAGTGCGAATCAGATTCTGAATATATAACTGAATTATGATATTTGAATATAACTGTATATTCAAGTGATCACAAAACCCAAATAGCTATAAGTTACATTTACATTTAGTCATTTAGCATACACTTTTATCCAAAGCGACTTACAAATGAGGACAATAGAAGCAATCAAAATCAACAAAAGAGCAATGATATGCAAGTGCTATAACAAGTCTCAGTTAGCCTAACGTAGCAAGGGTTTTTTAAATGATATAATAAAAAGAAAACAGAACAGAAAAAGAATAGAGCAAGCTAGAGTTAGAGGCCTTTTTTGCTCTTGTTAATTGTATAATAAATAAAAAAAACAAATAGAATACAATGATTAGAGAAGCTAGTGTTAGTTTTTTTTGTTTGAAGAAAACAAGCAGTTTGTAAATTAATAGAGTGCAAGTCTTTTTTTTTTTTTAAAGAATAGAATTAGATTAGCGAGTGCTACACGATACACGATAAAGTTTAAGTTACACAATAAAGAGTGGCTGAACTCTCAAAGCGGAGATGACAGGAAGGCTCTAATACCACTGAAACTCCGAAATCAGAGCAGTTTCATAAATTAATCTATATCTATATGATCATGTCGTTTCTCTTTTAAACGGTCCAGATTGGTATATCCTTGAAAGCTGCTGGACTGGATTAGTTTTGACTGTGCAAAGTTCTGTATTATGTTCTCCAATACAGGTGCATCGCAGTAAATTAGAATGTTGGTGGGTTTTTGTTAAATGTGAGCCAAAATCATCACAATTAAAAGAACCAAAGACTTAAACTACTTCAGTCTGTGTGCATTGAATTTATTTAATACACGAGTTTCACAATTTGAGTTGAATTACTGAAATAAATGAACTTTTCCATGACATTCTAATTTATTGAGATGCACCTGTATGTACTTCATGAAACACTTCCTCTAGTTCTGTGTGAAGTTAAAGTGCGACATGAAGGTAAGTGCATTATTGTTTTTGTAAATTTTTTATAGTCAGATTATCGTACAGCATGTATCAATTAATGACAGTTTTGATTGTCATGGTGTGTTCATGAACAAGTGTGAAATACCTGCTAATTACGTTGCTTTTTACATCTGAAATAAGTATTTATGCATGTTCTCTGAAATAAAATATTTTCTTTAATAACAAGTCAGTTCTATGTAGTTCAGCTCTTGTTCAATCCTTTTGAGGTTAAATCAGTGTCAGTTCATTATAAATGCGTCTTTAATAATCATGAAGTGTTTGTGTTCAGATGTTGAGCATGAAAGCGCAGGTGGATGTGGTCTGCTGTAAATCAGTAGGAACTGATCTGTCCATGCTGGATATTGAGGATTTCATCACAGAAATCTGTCAGCTGAAGAAAGAGGTGGCTTCACTGGAGGCAAAGCTGAGAGAAAGAGGAGACAAACTGAACAGAGAGGTTTGAACAGCTCTTCATTTCATCTTCAGCTCAAACAAACCAAAGTTTTGTTACCATCTCACTTCTTATGCACATCTCAAATTAAGCCAGCAGCAAAATATGTTAACTAATCACCAATATAACCACTAAAGACAGGGATGGTTTCTTCATTAGATTTGTTTCTATCACATCCAACAACGGTGTTACGCTAGCTGTCACTGTTCTAGATTGTTTGTTCTGCCTCTGGATATATAGTCCAATCAGGTAAAGACGATTACAGTGACATACAGGAGTCGTACATTATTAGAAATGCGTACATCCGTTATTATTAGTGTGCAAATAAACGGACTGTGTATGTGTGCTCTCTGATAGCTTTTTGCACGAGCACATTTCAGTATGGTCGCATGTCTGGCAAGTGTTTTATAATGGACTCTCGCTGAAGAAGCATGTTTTTATAGGAGTTTTTTTTTTTTCTGTTTTGTCTCAGGAGTTTGTCAGCACTCACTCTGACAGGGGAACTGTTCACTTGTGATGTCAAGCCACCTTAAGTTCACCACATTTGACAAATTCAGAATGTTTTTATTTACTTTTTTAATTTTCGTTTTGCTCTGCTTAATAATTCTGAATGGATCCGTATATATTCATATATATATATATAGAGGGTTTGCACCTATGTCACGTTTTGGTCAGTTACCAGGATGTGCAGCCATTGTGGCAATGCTCGGATGTAAACAGCAGCATGGATTGTGGCAACTGGACTGGTATAGTGGTCTGTTGGCATCTCTTTCTGGTCCTGTTGGTATTGCAGCTTGACTTGTAGTTATAGAAAATGCTCTAAACCAGTGGTTCTCAAACCTGTCCTGGAGTACCCCCAACACTGCACGTTTTCCATGTCTCCCTCATCTATCACACCTGATTCTGCTCATCAGCTCATTAGTGGAGACTGCAAGACCTGAAGTGGGTGTGTCAGATATAGGGAGACATACAAAATGTGCAGTGCTGGGGTACTTCATGGACAGGTCTGAAAACCACTGCTCTAACCAAATGTGACATTTATTTTTTTTTCCTCACAGTTTTTGCTGTTGCACTGTATAGTATGTACAGTAAAGCGTGTGAGAGATTGACTCGGCTCTCAAAACATGGATTACATCTGTTGTAGGGGATGACTTGAAGGCTCTTTGTAAATAACTGTAACTCTGAAATCAGAAAACAGCTGAATGACTGAATTAAAATTGAATATGAGACTACGACTCCTGTCCATCATGTGCGTACCAGGACAGCTGCTGAAAGAGGTTTGAATAAACGATTAATTGAAGGTATTACGTGAATATCTTGAAAATCATAAATTTTGCCGCCGAGAGGCTGAGTAGAGGAAACTAACTTGTCCGACGCGCTTGTTGATAATGATCATGGATCCAAAGACTGCGTTTTGTAGATTTTGTAGATTTATTTGCATGAGAAACAAACAAGGTTGTGCATCCAATACATTCCATAATTGTTTCACTGGCATATGAAATGGTGTCCTAAAGTCATGATAAACGGCATTAAACAGCGTTAGCTTTTAGCAGTCAGTAAAAATAAGACTTCCCCCATCACCCCCTCTCTACCCAACACACAGATGAACAGATGATATATTCTTCCTACTTCCACCACCACCAGGTGCCGCAGTTAACGCAAAAAATGTGTTCAAAATAAAAGAACAATACCTGGCTTTTACAGAAGGTTTTGGTGAGCTTTTGGGATGGAAATTGTCGACCCAATCTGGCAACACTGAAAATATCACAGTGTCGCATATCAGACTTTGTAAATATTTAAATCACAGTCTTTGCAGTTTTACAACTGCATTAAGTAGTTAGATATTTATGCAGATTTTGTTCCTTTCAGATGACAATGCTGGTTCATCTTCTGAGGGAGAAACTGCCTCCACTTCCAAAGAGCGATGGACAGTGACGGACTGTGGAAAGACATTCAGCAAACACGGTCATTTAGTGAGACATAAGAAAAAACACACAGAACAGAAAGAATTCACTTGCAAGAGATGCAACATCAGTTTTCCTACCTTCAAAGAGAGGGAACGTCATTCAAAAAAGCACGAAGTGAAGAAGGAGTTTCGCTGTGACCAGTGCGGGAAGGATTTTTTCACCACTCCTTATAATATGAAAGTTCATATGAAGACACACGAGGAAAAGTCTTTCCAGTGCAACGAATGTAACAAGTTTTTCCGCAGCATTAGTAATCTTTCTATTCATAAGAGGATCCACACGGGTGAAAAGCCATACACGTGCCCTCAATGCGAGAAGAGCTTCACCCAGAGAACGCATCTGAAGAACCATCTACTCATGCACACCAACGAGAGACCGCATCAGTGCCCTCACTGCGAGAAGAGCTACAACGTCAGTTCAGATCTAAAGAAACATGTACTCACGCACAGCAATGAGAGGCCATACCAGTGCAGTGAATGTGGAAAAACCTATAAAAACTCAACTTCTCTAAAGGCACACCAGAAAATATACTCTGACAAACCGTATCAGTCAGTGTTCACACTGTGAGAAACGTTTCCATCATTCGACTCACTGTAAAACCCATGAAAGGATTCACACCGGAGAGAAACCGTATTCCTGTAGTGATTGTGGGAAGAGTTTCTATAAGCCAAGGGACTTAAAAATACATCGGAGGACGCATACAGGAGAAAAACCTTTTAAATGCTCACATTGTGACAAGACTTTCGCTTGAGCAGGTTACCTGAAGATCCATGAACGAATGCATACAGGAGAGAAACCTTACTGCTGCTCCATCTGCGGCGAGAGATTTGCTTTTATATGGGGTTTTCAGACGCACAAGAAGAAACACGCTGCCCCAGAATCATCATAGATTCATCATTAATCAGTAATTAGTTTTAGGTTGTGTAAAAAAAACAAACACTTTGCAGTGTTTCGAGACCATTATTATTTATTGGTTGTAAAAAAAAAATTAAAACAAGAATGTCAGTGTAATGCAATTAACAATGCAAGTTTGATTTCTGTTTGTCTCAGTTAGCATGTTTGTGGCTGATTTGCTTAATTTCTTCTTCTTTAAAAACATTAATATTGTGAAATATTATTCCAGAACAAAATCACTGTTTTCTATTTGAATAATCCTTCAGGAGTCATAATAGGCTGATGTGCTGCTAAAGAAATCTGTTTTAGCACAGTTGAAAATGCTTGTGCTGCTTAATGAAGTGTGGAAACTGACATTCAGTGTTCAGGATTCACGAATCAACAGAAAGAGGGGAAAACAGCATTTTCAATTATAAATAAAAACGTTCTCTGTAACAACTTTATAGGTAAAAATATTAAACCAGAGTTATGTGTGTGGAAAGCATACAAAAATCACATATATATTTTTTTTTTCAAACACACACACACACACACACACACACTCACCCTTCCTTTACTGTGCTCCTCTGATTCTGCGCGCCTTTTCTCCTGTCTTCCAAAGAAAACCGCGAACTCGCGTAATTCCAAAAATAACGGTCATTCCCATTTACCGGCTGACTGACTAACATTCGTTTATCTTTGTCTTTATTTAATAAGTTCGTAAATATATTATACTATGCCCGTCTCTTGGCAACGCCACAGAAATACTTTGGTATTTTTTAATAAGAGAAATGATGTTTGAATAATGTTTGGTGGTTTCTCTCTAGTTAACCTGCCGGAGCGTCTATTCTTCTCTTCATTTCTATCGCTCGTACTTTAGGAGGCGCTGTGACTTTATTCTTTAGTTCACCGGTAAAACCACTGAAGAAACAAAGAAGCCTAGAGCACTCCGAAGGTAAGCCTGCGTCCCAATATGCGTATTATCCATCCTAAATTCTATGTGATATTAGTAATTTTAAATACTATTTAGTGCAGATAGGGTGGATAGTATGCACATTGGGACGCAGGGTAAGTGTTTAATCCGTTTTACATTATTCATGTGTATTAGCATGTATATGTGCTGCTTGTTTTTTTTTGTCTGTTTAATAAGGTTGAATGAAGCTTTTCGTCGTCCGCTCGTCTTATGAAAAATTACCATGGTTTTTCATTACAGTAACATAACAAATTTCCTATAGTTTTACTATAATAACCCATAGTTCAGCTCTTGTTGAGTCGTATGTGTTCAATAATTTTGAGGTTAAATCAGTGTCAGTTCATTATAAATGCGTATTTAATAATCATGAAGTGTTTGTGTTCAGATGTTGAGCATGAAAGCGCAGGTGGATGTGGTCTGCTGTAAATCAGTAGGAACTGATCTGTCCATGCTGGATATTGAGGATTTCATCACAGAAATCTGTCAGCTGAAGAAAGAGGTGGCTTCACTGGAGGCAAAGCTGAGAGAAAGAGGAGACAAACTGAACAGAGAGGTTTGAACAGCTCTTCATTTCATCTTCAGCTCAAACAAACCAAAGTTTTGTTACCATCTCACTTCTTATGCACATCTCAAATTAAGCCAGCAGCAAAATATGTTAACTAATCACCAATATAACCACTAAAGACAGGGATGGTTTCTTCATTAGATTTGTTTCTATCACATCCAACAACGGTGTTACGCTAGCTGTCACTGTTCTAGATTGTTTGTTCTGCCTCTGGATATATAGTCCAATCAGGTAAAGACGATTACAGTGACATACAGGAGTCGTACATTATTAGAAATGCGCACATCCGTTATTATTAGTGTGCAAATAAATGGACTGTATGTGTGCTCTCTGATAGCTTTTTGCACGAGCACATTTCAGTATGGTCGCATGTCTGCAGGCCCGGCTCCAGAATCAAATCACTGAGGGTGCTTCTTAAAATAGTGAGGGTGCTCATATATATTTATTTTTTAAATCTAATTAATCACACCCTTTTTCTGTGATTAATCGCACACTTCATGAAATTAAGCATAGACGATTTATCTTGTTTCAAATATTTATTTTGTCATCATTTGCTATACCCAGCAAAGTAAACCAAAAGATTGAAGGGTGATTGTGAAAAATCTGTATTTTCTGCCAGTTTTTCTCAAGATAAATGTATTTGTCTTTTCAAAAAAGGACCCTTAGAAACTCCAAAAAGACACCAAAGAACCAAATGATATAAGGAGAGAAATGTGTGCCTGTGCATAAATACAATGTGCGATCAGCGCGTCAAGAGCACTCATACGCGCATTATTATAACGGACTCATGCGTGCTTACTGTACGACTCCTGCACCACTGGAATTAATAATTCACTGAAAACGCAACACGAGTCTCTATTCTCTGACGTAATCAGCCTGGTTTCCTTTATATTAGCACTGTTTCGGACGGATTGTTTGAATGTATTCACTAACTGGATCATTGGACTGAAAACTTTCCCAGAGTTTAGCAGCCCCTGCTCCTGGAGAGCTACCATCCTGCAGATTTCAGTTCTAACCATGCTTCAACACACCTGTCTGAAATTAACAAGTAGCCTTGAACACCTTGATTACCTGGTTCAGGTGTGTTTGGTTGGGGTTGGAGCTGAAATCTTTAGGACGGTAGCTCTCCAGGAGCAAGGTTGGAGAACCCTGGGTTAAGGCAATTGGTATAGTGGTCTGTTGGCATCTCTGTCTGGTCCTGTTGGTATTGCAGCTTGACTTGTAGTTATAGAAAATACTCTAAACCAGTGGTTCCAAATCCTGGTCCTGGAGAACCCCCAACACTGCACATTTTTTGGTGTCTCTCTTATCTGACACTCACATTTGAGGTCTTAGGAGTCTTCACTAATGAGCTGATGAGTTGAATCAGGTGTGTTTAAATAGGGAGACATCTAAAATGTGCAGTGTTGGGGGTTCTCCAGGACCAGGATTGGGAACCACCGCTCTAAACCAGTGGTTGCCAACCACTTTCCTCGAGGCCCCCAACACTGCACGTTTTCCATGTCTCCCTCATCTATCACACCTGATTCAGATCATCAGCCCATTAGTGGATACTGCAAGACCTGAAGTGGGTGTGTCAGATATAGGGCCTGTTTACACCTGGTCATTTCATGCGTTTTCGCTGATCGGATATCGATCTGATTTGTTATATGACACTCTGAATAATGAAGTTAAGCACTGAAATTTCATGAAATTATTATCCTCTAATTACAACATTTGTATATGAATTTAAACAGAAATATGTGCAGTGGATGTGCTGCTTACGACCAATTTTCCTGTGGTATGTGATTTAATGTTGTAATCACAGCGAGGATTGCTTAGCGTATGACAATTCCGCTTTAAATTGTGTTCTAAATAGCAAAACTCATGTTCTGAGAAAATACTTTTGCGCCACAGACAGTAGCCTAATGATAACTCCTTTCATGCTCTTCCCAATATTGTGACAAACACCATATTTAAAAGATAGAATTTGAAGGAAACTCTAAGATATGCTTTAAATAAGATATATTTACACTGCAATAAAAAAAGGCCTATCTCTTTCCATAAAAATATAGGCTATAAACATTCTAAAATATATGTTTACCTTTTAGGCAAATTGCATAAATTAGAATAGTGATGTCTCAAAACGCAATTATAGTCCGTATCTCATATTTCCCTAACGTGTTGTAGGCTACCCTTAACTGCGTTAAAGGGGTCATGTGATGCTGCTAAAAAGAACATTACTTTGTGTATTTGGTGTAATGAAATGTGTTTATGCGGTTTAGGGTTCAAAAAACACATTATTTTCCACATACTGTACATTATTGTTTCTCCGCTATGGCCT